CAATGCGTGTTCAAAACCTACAACACACCCAGCGGGTCTCTTACCTAAATCTTTCAAAAACTGAAACTGAATAATCAACTGTGAATTTTAGGTCTAATTTGAATCATGTCGATGTCGAGGCCGTGGAAATAGGGGTAACCAAGCCTACGCCTACAGCTGCAGCTATGCGATCGCACCCATTAAGTATGCCAGCCACTGCTACAGCGCGCTGCTCCTTGCCGGTCCTCATCGAATCGGGTTCTTACAGTACGTAGACAACATATTTTAAGTAGAATTGATTTTTTTTTTGTTCATAATATTCAATCATTAGGTAGTATAGAGCAAAGTCCTAAGCTTATGGATCGTTTTCATCACGATCACTTGGATTCTGATTTTGCCGTATCGCATGGGGATTCTAGACTCAAGGAGGATTTGGCCGATGCTATGCGCGAATCACCCTCTGTATCTGAGGTTCACAGAATTACTGGTAAGTCGTGTTTATGTTTTAATTAAAACGTGCGGTGGTGTAGGGTTTTTCGTTTCGAAGTTAGCTTTATAATATTTATTCACTTATAGTATGTANTTTCGTCCGCGTGATATATTTCGTTTAACCATATGTTTCAAATGTAATAATAATTCGCTTTGAACAAAGGTGGGGGTCATATAAGAATAAACTTGAAGATAATAGTAAATAGATTTGCACTGCTTTTCTGGCGCATGCGAAAACCTGAGCGGATGGTAAATAGAGCCAATTTGATTGTCTTACAAAGCTGAGAGAACAATGGAACTAAGCTTTCATTAGCTATTTGCGGTATTTCATACTTAATTATATCTGTAGACAGACACCAACGTATTCGCATTAACGTGTTGGCATCATGAGATGGGCGTTTTTTATTTTGCTCCTCATTTTCTCCTTGCAATTTTTCTAATGCGCTCAGCTTCTTATCGATTTTCATCATTGCTGATTTGAGGTTGGATGGTTCAGCAGCAATTTCACGAACCTTCAGCATAATGATTAATTTTGTAATTATGCTCCCTATGGATGCTTCCGTTCCAGCTTTTAAAACCAACTCACTGTTGTTGGACAATTGATTTCCATCTTTGGTGCTTCATCAGAACGGCGGACATATTAAATTTTGTAAGTTGTGAAAGTAGAAGCTTTTACTTCGTTTTATTTGCCAATTTACCTTTCGTTACTTGAAAATTGCCTTTTAGTCTTCTTGAACTCATCAAATTTTTCTATTATGAGGTTAGTTGAGCATTTTCGTTTCATATAAAAAAACGAATAAAAATAAAGACAAAAGCGAATAAAAGAAA